GAGACACACAAGAGCCTGTTAGATGCAGGTATCCTTGGGAAGAGTACTCAGTAATCACAGCGAGCCCTGGTCTCTAATCCCATTTTGCTACTGTGGGCTTTGCCAAGCAGACATGGTCCCCTTAGCCTGGACAGTAATAGAACTCAGCAATTCTGTACAGAATGTTCCCACGTGAGTAGCAGCAGGATGTTTTAATGATGCCTCTGGGAGACATCTTTGGTCAAATTTTCCTCTCACATAATAAAGTTAATGGTACCTATAATTATTGATTCTTCTCAGTGCCACTCCGGCGTGGTTTTAAACATAGACTTTATACATCATCTCATTTAAGCCTCACAAATAAAAGCTACAAAGTAGGCTATGATTACAGTGAGATTCCATCTAAGAGAAGCAAAGATCTGAAAATGAACGACTTGGCCCTGACCACCCATGCAGGAAATTGCTAGAGCTAAGATTTAAAACCAAGTCCTTTGGACACAAAATAGATACTGCATGCATATCCCCCATTATTTTTTGCTTTGTTCTGAGCTCATTCTTATCCTTTTGGCCCACGCCAGGAACATTCACGTCCCTGTGGTCCATCCTTCCAGCATTGTTGGGACTCCTCCCAAAACCCAATCCCACCTACACCTTGGTTCACAACACTCGACTGGGGCATCACAGAAAGCAGGACACCACTGTCTGATCCTTCATCCTTCTTCCTTCCTTCCTTCCTTCCTTCCTTCCTTCCTTCCTTCCTTCCTTCCTTCCTTCCTTCCTTTCTTCTTTCCTTCCTTTTCTGGCTCTCTGTAACTGTGGTCAACTTATTCCATGAACTCTCCTCTCTCCCACTGTTACAGGCTGAATGTCTGTGCTCTTCCCAAATGCATATGCTAAGCTAGGATGTGTTGGCATTTGGAGGTGAGACTTTGAGAGATCATTAGACACTGGTGAAGCATAAAGGCAGAAACCTCATGATGGGATTTGTATCTGATGGGGAAAGAGGAAGAGAGGGAGATCAGTGCATGTCTGATTGTCTGTCTCTGAGCATGCACCAAGGAAGGGCCATGTAAGCAAACTGCAAGAAAACAGCTGTCTGCAACCCAGGATGTTGGCCCTCATCTGATGCCAAATATGACTCCACCATGATTTTGATTGCAGACTCCCCAGCCTCCATAACTGCGATGCCCCAAGCTAAGGCATAGCTCTCTTCTTAGCAGGCCTAAAGCTAACATGCAGTCACACTCTTGTGACTCCACACCAGGCAGACATTCAAGAACACGTTGTGTCATGGTGCACAGTTATCCCTGTTCTTGATCTATAGTAACCTATTTTCTTCTGTGCAAGCCCCAACTGGACAAGGCCGTTCCATCTCGGTTCTCTTCAGGATGAAACATGGGCTTCTCTCAAGAGTTTCAAATGCTAAACCCAGTAAACGATTTTAGTTGGACACAGGATACATAACAAGCGAAGATGAAGTCCAGGTTCCAGTGTCGTTCTGTCCTCTACCACTCGGCCTATACTGAACTCTGTATTTAATGAGCTTTTACTGTCAAACAGAAGCACAGAAAGAACCACAGATAATGCCATCTATCAAGACATTATATTCATTTTGAAATCTTCTATTTGAGCTAATATACTAAGCTAATTAAACTAATATATGATAAACAGGAATCCCCTTTTCATCTTTGCTTTCTTACAAAGGACAGGGGATGTTTCTGGTGTTTTGTTTGATTGGTTGGCGCGTTGACTTGCAAGATATCTCCCCACAATTTGGTGTCCATGGGAGGCACTGGCCCCAGGTGAAATCTGTGACTGTCTCATATATGTCCTTCTAGGGGCCGATTTTGAGACTATGATGATCTCTAGCCACTGTGTGGAAGAATGCAAAAGCCAGGATGAGAGAAGAAAACCAAAACCACAAGGTATCAACTGTCAAATTCAAGAGCACATTCTAGACACAGCCTAATAACTTTCCCCCTAAAGGGTAAAGCTATTTGGCTTTAGTCTACTGCTGAATTTCTTACTTTACTACAATGAGTACTGATGATGGCCAAGCCATAAGCTAGGTTAACATCCCTGATAATTTAAATTCTTCAGACACCCCTTTTCTAAACTAACATGCATCCTCGGTTAACATGCTCATTTGAAATGAAGACTGAATACCGTTTTGCCTTATGACACACGAAGGGGCCTTCCTGTGAAAGTCAGAGGAGGCAAAGTAGAACAACATGCGGAAAGAGATCATAGGATCAACTAACTGCATGACATCCTTAGACTGAGACGTGGAAGGCTTTGGCTCTCCTGAGGAATTCATTGTGGATCCAAATGAAGCAACTGAATTCTAAGCTTTATATATATACATAAAAAATGACTAGGGTGCTGGGGAGATGGTTCAGTTAGGAAAGTAGCTGCTGCACAAGCATAAGGACCTAAGTTCAGATCCCCAGCACCCAGAAGCAAGACAGGCATGGTAGTATGCCTCTATATAACCCTAGCACTGGGGGTGGGGCACATAGGGACCGGTGGCTCCCTGAAGCTCAGTGGCCAGCAAGCCAAATCAATGACCTCCAGATTTGGTGAGAGACTGGCTCAAAAAAAGTGGAGCCAGCTGTGGTGGTACATGCCTTTAATGCTGGCCCTCGGGAGGTACAGACAGGTGGGTCTCTGTGACATAGAGACCAGCCTGGTCTACATAGTGAGTTCCAGGCCAGCTGGGTCTACAGGAATACCCTGTCTCAAAAAAAAAAAGAAGCAATAAAATAAAATAAAGAAAGTAGAAAGCAATAGAGGATATCCAACATCAACTTCTGACTTCCACACGTACATGCACTCTCACACACTACATATACACAAATACAAATTGTAAAAAGACTAGAAAAACTTGTAGTTACTTGTTTATACAGTAACGTTCATGGCAAGTCTACAAATAAAGTGAGCTATTGCAAACTGAATTTGTAATCAACATTAACAGCTAAACTGTTTATCTCTCACTTTCACATTTTGGATTTCCAAATTTAGTCTTTTAAGAAGTGACATAAGCAGTAGACAATATTAGTTCAAGATCATCTTCACTGACACTAAGGTCCCACACTGACTTATTTCCTAGAACTAAAATTGAAACCGAAAACTGACAATAATACTACAGAGGGCTTCAATCTAATCTGAGACGAACAGACGTGCATTTTAACAAAACTCTATAAATGCCCCTGGCGTAGTTTCTTTTGCTGTGACCAAATATCCCTATCAAAAGCAATCGGGGAGGAGGAGCTATTTGGCTCACAACTCCAGATCACAGCCCACGGTTTTAGGTGTGCCGAGGCAGGAACTGAGTGGCTAGTCACATCACATACGTCCACAGTCGAGAGCAGGGAGAGATGAATGCACCCGTAATGAGTGTCCACTCGGCTGGCTTTCCTTGCTCTTACACAGTTTAGGATCCAGCCCATGAAACAGCTGAGTCCCAGGCATTTCAGGGTGGGTGTGCCGTTCCACCTCAATTAAGGCAATCAAGATGACCCCCCATAGTCATGGCCACTGGCCAACCTGATCTAGGCAATCCTTCATTCAGGCCCACTTCGTGGGTGATTCTAGGTTGCAGCAATTTTACACTAGCTATCACAGCCCCACAAAGTATAAAACAAGTGATGAGGCTCCCTAAATCTCTCTGTCTCTGCCTCTCTCTCATACATAAATAAGCCTATTAGAACACTAGCCAGTGAGCTACAGAAAATAATAAAGATTGCACCCATGCTATAATCAATGATAGCATTCAAATCTTTGTAGCTTAAAGACAAGCTCAGGAGAAATCTAGCATGAATCTGCAGTACCTCACACAGACCATTTTCCTCTCCACAACACTGTCCCTGGGATCAGTCACCCCAGAGGGCTTCCAGGTTCAGAGGAGCAGGAGGAAGAATGACAAGAAGCCAAAAAGAGAAAACTGCACTGTGAACAGTGACCAGCCCCATGCCACAGAGTTCCAGGGTGCTTTCCTCTCCACAACACTGTCCCTGGGATCAGTCACCCCAGAGGGCTTCCAGGCTCAGAGGAGCAGGAGGAAGAATGACAAGCCAAAAAGAGAACTGCACTGTGTACAGTGACCAGCCCCATGCCACAGAGTTCCAGGGTGCCGCCACCCCTCCCTTCCTCACACCAAATTCTTCTAAGTTCTTGAAACAGTTAACCAGGGAAACAGGTTGGGACAGGCCTTGTCCTTGCCCTAAGCAATGTCAAAATTGCATTTGGTGGTGGGCAGAGAAGAGTTAAATTTTAAGTGTTGACACGTTGACAGATTCCAGGTAATTATCAACCTCTCCTTCCGTGACAGAGAACTTGTCATTTTATCCTAATTTTAACTTTTTAAAAATATTTTATTTATTATTTTTATTTTTTATATGTATGCATGTATTGCCTGCATGCAGGTAATGCATGTAGGCACCCGTGTCATGCAATGCCGATGGAGGACAGAAGAGGCTGTCAGATCCCCTGGGACTGGAGTTACAAACAGTTGTTAGCTGCCATGTGGGTGTTGGGATTCAAACCTGGGTCTTCTGCAAGAACAGTCACTGTTCTTAACCACTGAACCATCTCTCCAGCCCCCAATTTTCACTATTTATATGCATTTTGGGACCTGGCATTGCTCAAAACAAAACAAAAGTGAACACAACAGCATCGTTTGTATTTTCAACCTGGTTAACCACAGGAAACCCTCAAGTTCTATTTTGTGCTTCTGTGTTATTAAAGATTTTTGAACCTCAGACTGTAAAATGCTGATCATCTTCTCTATGGATGACATCATCATTAAGAAACCAAATGAACAGCCAGGTGTTGTGCTGCCTGCTTTTAAACCCAGCATTTGGAAGGCAGAGGGTCTCTGTGAGTTCAAGCCCAGCCTGGTCTATATAGTGAGCTCCAGGCCAGCTGTGATTACAGGGAGACCTCTGTCTCAAAAAGACCAAAAAAGAAACCAAGTGTGGGTGTGTGAAGACAAATCCATCTTTCCCACAGTCAGCACTTACCTAGAGGGAAATCGTGGGGCTGGACCACTTGGAGGAAGTTGTGCACCATTCGGAAGAGAGGACCAAGAAACCCAGGCTCATAGGTGCCTTGGGTCTCATACACCATGGTAGGCAATTCATAATGCAAAACCCCAGGAGTACTTGTGGTCGTGAGCTGCCCTGTCGAAGAGGCACTTCCACACAGCCCCAGCAGCAGCAGGACTCTCAGTACGAAGGCCATAGCTAGCCAGCCTGATCACCCAAGCATGAGGTAGTTTCTGGACGCCTCAGACCAGATGGGCCTTCCTGGGCCTATGGAACTGTCTGCTTCCTGGCAGCGCTGGTTCTCTGAAACAGGAGCAGAGTGCTCTTCAAGAAGGTCATTCACTCAAAGCACCATCCCTGGCAGAGAAAGAAGGATCAGCAGTTACTCACAGGCGACCTGCCTATACCAGGAGCTCACCCCACAACAGGCCACAAAGCTTAGAGTTAAACACTTTGGCCTAATCTGGGTGGGTTGAAAACAAGCACACAGTCTGCTCCAGAGCTCCAGGAAAAGGACTGGAAGCTCCTTCCTGGGGGATGGAGCAGATTCAGAACACAGACCCTTTCTAGGTTCCTGGAATATCAGGCACGGTACAGGGAGCCCTTTGTCCCTGGAGACCGACGTTCATTGAGCACTTACTGCATCCCAGGTACTGTGCTACATGCTTTTCAGGCATCATTCCACGTTACAGATGAGGAAACAGATGCAGAGAGGATTTCAGTAACCTGCCATTAGGCCACAGGACAGTCACAGTGGGGCCGGAACCCAAACTCAGTATTTTGCCTTCTGAGTCCGAGCCCTAACCAAGACACCAAGGCTCTGACCCTCCAAGAGTTTGACCCTCCAGTGCTCCACTCAGGGCCAGAGAGGCCCCTACCCATGGACTACATGCTACTTTTTCTAAGTTTCTGCTGTCCTCTTTGATATAGCTCACAGTGCCTTAGGGTCTGCTTATTCACTAACTGACCTCATTTTAAGTATCTGTCGTCACTCCATCTCACCCCTAACTCAAACCACAAGGGTACGGCCTCAAGGTCAGAGACAAACTTTGGGATCAAAGTCTGATTGTCTAATAAACTTACCAGGTCATCCTATGAAACCCTCCATTTCAAGTCACAGCCTGCAATGACTTGGGGAGAGGTAGGGGCCAAAGGAGGCTTCTGTCTACCCCTGAAGAGACAGGAATGAGAAACAGGAATCCTAAAGGCAGTCACCACCACTGTGTCTGGGAAGGGAGAGGGACCCAGAGCAGTGCTGAAAAGCACCTTGTCTTGCTGGACCCTAGGTTCTTTCGATTCTAACAGAAGGCATCTGTACTCAGCAGGTAAGCACCTACTAAACATAAGAAATAAAAAAACCAAAACGCCTGATTTCTTGCACTGTTTTAAGAGACTGGATGAATCAGCACCAAACCTAGGATCTGGGATGCACAGCTCCTCCTTTCTCTGTGGTGTTCTAGAACCCAACTTTTTTTTTTTTTTTTTTTTTTTTTTTTTTGTCTTTTTGAGACAGGGTCTCCCTGTAGTCCCAGCTGTCTTGGAACTATGTAGACCAAGATGGCCTCGAACTCACAAAGATCCGCCTGCCTCTGCCTCCCAAGTGCTGGGATGAAAGAACTGCGCCACCACCGCCGGCAGAACCCAACTTCTTAAACAACGGTTTGCAACTCCACATGGAGTCATGGAACTGAACGTGAGGGTGGTGAAAAATCTGGCAACAGCGAATTCTAAACACACAAATCTGCGATGACTAAAAACTAATTCAAAGCCAAGCACTTGGCCTGTGCCTTTAATCCCAGCCCTCGCGAGGCAGAGGCAGGCGGATCTGGTCCACATAGTGACTTCCAGGTGGGCTGGGACTAGGGAGACCCTGTCAAATATCAACAAAACAAAAAATCGAGCACATGATGAATTGGAGGTGTTTCTAGCAGCGCTCAGCAGTGCTGCAAACGCCCAGGTCCACTGCAGCCTTGGTCCTGCACGGACAACAGGTGCCACCTCTGCACTGCGCATGCCCTCCAGCGAACCAGCGAACCACCAGCGAACACTGTCAGAAACGTCGGTGTTGATTTGAGGCTGCTGAATGTTAGGAACTACAATGTTTTAACTTCACATGCAGAACATATTGTTCTTACAGAGACGTAATGGTTTACTTACAGAAAACAAGGCACTTTAATATTTTCCTACTGTCATTCCTCCTCATGTTTCAGATGAGTGTATCTTTGGACTGGATTGCGTCAAACAAGTACATCCATCTCACTGGCACAAGAATTTGCTTTTAGTAAACGGCAAAATGATACAGCTGCCCAAAGTTGTTTTAAAATAAAATGATTTATGATTTATTATCAGTGTTTCATTTGGGTTTACATAAAATTTTCTTGAGTGGAAGGAGTGGGAAAGGTTTAGGCAGCCATGTTCACAAGCTTTCATTTTTCATGCTATATAGATACTTTCGAGGTAAGCACAGGGTGTTTCTAAAATCCACACTGTAAGAAAGGAAAAGGGGTCAATCATTCTGTCAGGTCTCAAGGGCCAGTGTGACCAGCACAAAAAGCTGAAGGCATTCAGGACCAACATTTGTGTCCCTATAAAATCGCTGTTGACAAAATGACTACGGCCAAACCTAACTTCTGGTTTGGGGTTTATTAATCTGCACTTTAAAACACAGCTCCAGACAAGAAGTAAGAATTCAGGAGCTGTCTCAATGAAGATGTCAGTTCCTGTCTAATCCCTCCTGTTCTAGCTCCCATTCCTCTCCAATTACGTCAGCACAGAGCTACCAACAGAATGGCTCTGGAATCTTCCTTTAGCAAATCTTGTGCTGCTCAGATTGTCAGGTGACCCCTGGGGTCAAGCTCCATCACACTCACAGTGAGCCCTGTACTTGGGGGATGACTCTCAAGGGCTGCCTCTCATCCCCCATACCACTCCTCCTCTTTGCTAAGGATTCAAGCCTCAGCTGCTGTGAAAGGTGCACTTCCCGGTAATGATACCAAGCCACAGCAGAGACAGAAAGAATCGCCCTGAGAGACAGTGATAAACAAGCTTCCAAACTCCCTCAGTGGAAACTGAGCCAGAGGAAATCTCAAAGGCAAAGATGGAGGTACCCACTGCCTCAGACAGCAGCTGGGGTTCAGTGTCCACATTCCTTTACATCCCCCTGCCAAAAGGGTAGGTTTCTCTTCAATTTTAAAGTGTAAGAAAATACTCCTTTAATTTCCTTCTTGTCTTACTGCTCTAGCAAGTTTCAAGCACTATACTGAAAAGGAGTGGAGATAATGGACAGCCTTATCTGGTTCCAAAGTACCAAAGTCTCAAGAAGCAAGCAATGATGAAAGTCAAGTCAAAAAGATTTTCACCTCAGCCTTAGTGGATGCGGGAAGGTCCCACGAGCCACTGAGATCAGCTCAAGGAGCCAAGAGCACAAAATGCAGAACAGGGCTTGGGACCAACATTGTGTCCCCAAAAAATGGGTATTGACTCAAAATGCCAGCGGCTGAAGCTAATTAATCAAGCGCTAATTAATCTGCATCGTCTCTCCAGCTCCTAATAGGCACTTTAAAAAATATTTTATTTCATCGTGTGTGTGTGTGTGTGTGTGTGTGTGTGTGTGTGTGTGCGCGCGCGCGCGCAGTGTCTGAGGGTACATGAAAGTAAGTCAGAGGACAACTTTTGGGAGTCGATCCTCTCCTTCCACAATGGGTTCTGGGATCAAACTCAGGTCTTCAGGCCTAATCTACAGCCCTAATCTGTACTTTGAACATGCTCCCCTTAAAACAGTGAAAGTTTGAAAACCAACACTGTTCCTTGAATACCTGCCTACCTACCTCACACCACTTTCCAAGGACACTGCAGGCTTTCTGGAAACACCTACAGGACAACAGACTAAGGTACAAGTGCCCTGTTCATATTTCTTGGACCTGATCTATCCAAGCTGCTGTGCACAGAGGCAAGGAACACTGAGTTACTCCCCCGGGTATTCCCAGAGATGTTACACTGAAGATATTGAATAAAGGACAGTTGAAATAAAATGGGAAGGAGGCTGGTACAAAACCATCATTTTTACCTCTTTTCAAACTGGAGGCAAGCAGCTACCTGTTGGCAGCCTTTCACCTTAGGGAAGGAGAGATCCTATCCTACCTCTCTGCAAGTCCTTGTGACCACTTTCTCAAAATTTGTCAGCAGACCACCTCCTTAGTGTTACCTATGGTAGGACAACTGGTCTACCATTCTGGGAGCGAGTCCTTCCCCTGAGACCCTCAATGTTGCAAGTTTTGGACACAACACACACAGCCACCCCCTTAAATAAGAACAAATCAGTGAAACCACTTGGTCATTTTCCTGGTCAATGGGGCACATTGTCGGTTCCATACCAAACACACTGTATTCAAATACAGTGAAGGCGAAGGGACCCGAGAAAGTCCGTTTAAAACAAATACCTCATATGATTCTGAGCCTGGAATCCAAAGAGCTGTATTTCTGCAAACTATGATTTTAAAAGGAGACAAGGTGACCCTCTAGCTTCGTTTTCTTTTCTTCTTCTGGTGGGAAGTCTTAGAATCTTTTTTAAAAGGATCACTGTGATGGATGCTTGCCTTCTGGGGTGCTGCTTTGGGGGAAGTGGGGGCTACCTAATTTCTGAGCCCACCTTTGTGAGTCCTGTGGGAAGCAGCCCTACCTCTCATTGTGAGGTGAACTGGGGTGCCCCAGTAGGTCCTGAGGATGAGACAGTCTTGGTCAATTGGATGCTTTCTCCTGGGCTGAGAGCACATACCGAATCTGGACATTTCTAGTTGTCTAGAAATGAGGGTGACAACAGAATATCCACATCCAGCATCCACCATGTCGGTCACAGCTATACACCACACAGGTGGCCTGTCAACTGTCCTGTCTGAGGCTAGTCAAGCTGTCCTGCCAAGTCCTCTAAGCCACTATCCTCACCCTTCCAAGAACTCCCAGTTCAGCGTCAGTCACCATGGGGTTACTTGTATCATTTATGACAAATCTTCTGGTGCTTAAAATTCAGGAGGTTCTTGGCCACTGCCAAAACCTATTTCCTTCACATTTTAAACAAAACCGACCATGCAATGCTTGTCTTTATGTTTTCTTCAACCTATCAAGTGATGTGTTTGTTTACTTCACTGAACAAGAACACAGAGAAATAGTCCACCACAGAAACCATAAGGAAGTCCATAAAAGTTTTATGGGACACTTAAAAAACGAATCTAAAGGGCTCTGCTACATAGCCAACATTCCAAGCTTTTGAAACAGGGCAAGGGCCTCTGGACCCACTTACCAACCCTGTGAAGATGACAGACAGCTGCTTACTGGGAAGCGGAGCTTTTGCACGGCATTGGTGGGTCAGCAGGCTAACACAGGTAAAGAACATGTGTGGCACAGTCCAGAAACTTCAACAGCTCCGGGCTAAGCACGACGATCCCTAGGCTCAATGGGACAGAGCTCCACTGAGATTCAAAGAGGAAATTTCACAAATGAATGAGAAAAGAAAAATAAGTTATCACCCCAGTGGGACCTTAGGAATTTGTCGACATTCAAAATGGAAAAACTTTTCCATAAGATTCTGCGCAACTCACTGTTGGAGGGTGTTTGGGTCTCAGTCGCTAGTGAGTCAGGCTGAAGGGGCCAGCAAGGACCCCCCCCCATCACTCACTCGCTTGTCTTAACAATGGCCAACAGCCACCACACACACATAAAAAAGAAAAAGAAAAAGAAGAAAGGAAAACCTTTCTTTGCCAGGACACCAGAAAGATCTGCAACCCTTGTTGCCCGTAGAGCAGTCAGTGGCTGCAGGAAGCACCGGTTTTCCTCCCGGCCTTTCCACCAGGCCAGACGCTCTCCGCCCGCCCAGGTTCCCTCCCGCAGGGGCCTCTCCGGGGCTGCGGGACACAAAAGAACCCGCCGCGGGGCTGCGCGCGAAGCCGGACGCCTAGAGGAATCCACGGCCCGCGGGTTGGGGGGGTGGTGTTGATCGTCTCTGGGACTCTGCTGCCCGGCGTACCAGTTCTCCTCCGGGTCCGCTTTGGGCAGGTATTGGGGACGCTCCCACCAGTGAGAAGGGGATCCGAGCCGTGTTCCCGCTTCTGTCTCGGACCCCCCTCTCTGAAGCTCTTCCTCAGCCCCATCCTCCTAAGCTCCTCTACTGACGGTCCTCTTTGTTGTCCTGATGCCCGCGTCCCGGAAAGGTGTGCCCGAGCACCCCAGGTCTGCACCCCCCCGCCCCCCCCCGCAAAAGCCGCAAGTCTGGGCTCTGTGCAACCAGGAGGGCCACGTGGAAGTGTCGGGGACTAGGAGCCTGGTGCTTGCGCTCTCCAACCGCCGCGGGGTGACCGTTTCCTTTTGCACCCGTGTCACCGGTCCTGCTCGGACCGCACTTAGGAAGCAGAAGGTAGCCGGCTGGGCATCCCACACCTCCAGGACCATCCCGGGGCCCTTCCTTTGCCACGAAAGAGTTCTCCAAAACGGGACTGAGCCTGCCCTCGCCACCCTCCCTGAGAGCGACCCCGTAGCCTCGCAGCCTAGCCACCGGCCTGCTCGCGTCCTGGGAACCAGGCCACCCCCCAGCCGACGGCTCGGTTCCCAAGGAGGCAAAGAACACCCGCGCGGTGGGCCAACACGGCGGGAAAAGTTTGCGCACTCCACCGGATTCTCCCAGATCCGGGGATCGCCCAGTGGCGGGGTTCCCAGACCACGCCCGCACCCCGCTCCAGCGCCGGGGCTGCAGACCCCGTCCCTCACCTGCAGCGCAGCTGGGGTGGGGCGCACGGCGACCCCCTCCACTCCCCACCCCTGCCTAGTGTGTTCTAGACTGGGGTGTGCTCAGCCCCCTCGCCGGCTCCGCACTCCCAGGTACTTACCGCGGCTCCCCAGTTTAGCGCTCCAGCCTGGGTCACCGCAGCTACAGCCGCCTCTCTTCCCTGCCCCGGCTCATGAATTATTTAAATCCGGGTCTCCGGAGACCACCGAAGTAGCTGGGCCAGAGTCCGCCCTGCTGGCGAGGGACGCGGGCGGCGGGACTTTGGGACCCCAGGATTCTGTGAGGACCTGTTGCGTTCTCCACGTTCCCGGTTACTATCTGGGGATGGTGCTAAGAGAACGGAAGGATTCCTTCCAGAGCTTACTCACCAGCGTCTGAGCTCCAGGCCAGGTGCCTGAGCGCCACCGAGCTCTGTTATTTAAAGAACGCTAAGCCTGGGGCGCGCTCTGATTGGACCTTCTGAGCAGCTCGGACACAATGCCCTAGGAACGACCGGGGGGACCTAGTCTGCATTTATTTCCTGCTGCCAGAGACCTGCTCAGCCCCTGCACGCCCTTCTCCAATCTCGAGTAAACCTAAGGTGCTCCTTGGAGGACAGCTTTGCTGCTAAAGTCTTTCTCGCCTTCACACGCTTCCTGACCTCTTTAGACAGGGTTACTGGCTACCAATGCATTAAAACAAAACAAAACAAAACAAAACAAAAAAACCCACTAAACAAAAAACAAATTATGGGCCTGGGGTGTGTCCCCGTTTTACGAAATGAGCGGCTCTCTTTATCCACTTACGTTCCTGGGTTCATCTAAAGGTGAATAGAAAATATGCTGAAAAGAATATATATATATAATTCCCTGAGCTATGCCATAGAACAGCTATATAGGGATTGCATTGTGGTAAGCACTGTAACTCATCTAGAGCTCCTTCAGGGTGCACGGGACGGTTGCAGTGGTTATATATGAATATTGTGCCACTTCATATAAGGGACTTGGACAGAGCGTCTGTGGATCTGGTATGCTGGGGGTCCTGGAAACTGCCCCTGCTCCACAATACCTAGAGATGATTGCAGTCTGGTAAGAAAAAATAGGGAAGAAAAGCACCTTCAGTGTCCAGCACCGATAAGATGTTTAGTGTTTACGGACTAGGTGATGGAAGGATGGGTAGACGGACAGAGCATTGACTTAGTCATTCTCTCCCCCTCAAAATCTACCATAAAGCAGGAAGGGAAAAGGGGAAGGAGAAAAAGGTGTTCTTAAAGTTGAACTTGACCTCGAGTGTATACTGCCAAGACAAGAAACCAGAGTTCAGAAAGACCTCTGAAAATCACATTAAGCTGTGGCAAGGTTAGGTACAGGAGGCTTCTAAAACTGCCGGTTCCCCCTCTACAGCCCCCACTGCTCCTGGGCCCATGCTCTCAGAGGCAGGCAGCTCACTAAGGCTGGTGTGTGAGAAGTGAGTTCCCTCCCCTGAGAACAGCTCTCCTGATCTACCTCAAAATTTGGTCCTCCCCCATTTTATGGGTACATTGGCTGCTTCATCTCTGAACCTCAGCTTCCCTGCCTGCAAAATGAGGACAATGGGAATAACTGACGCATTTTTATTCCTAATATCCATGAAGGAAGAGCAACAGAAGGGAACCAGAGCACCATGAACAAGGTGCCAGGCCATGTGTTCTAAATGAGCTTTTACAGAACCTTAGCAACAACCCTTTTTGGCAATATAATGATACAAGTTCAATAATTTACCTGAAGTCCCACAATGATGTCTCAAATGTGAACCCAGATCTAGCCTCCCGAATCCAGAAAATGGGTGAAAGTGTGTCAGGCCAATGCCACATTGGGTTGAACTGGGTGACCGTTGTCCTGTGACTTCTCTCTCCTAGGAAGACATAGGCACATGTCTGCTCACTCCAGAGGGCACAGACAATAAGCCAAAGAAACAATTCTTTCCCAAGTTGAACTTGAACTCCAGAGTTTATTGAAATTGCATACAGCATGAGTGAGGAGTTCCTTGCAGGAACGTGTGTGACGCCTTGTAAAAGCCCTCCACAGCATGGGTAACAATTCATGAAAACCACATTTCTGGAGTTCCTGTGCAACTGGCAGACAAGCCCCACTGGAGAGTCTCCTTTCCCCCAAGCAGTTGTGTAATCCTTACTTAACCCTGGGGCCTTGTGAATCTTTAACTCTCTGAGCTTCCTGAATCTCCTGATCCTTAGTTTGCTGACTTTAGGAGCCTCCTTCCTCCCTGACAGAAGGGATGTTTCAGTTCGGAAGAAACAGCTCGACAACCATCTGTCTTCCCTTCACTTAGGGCGCTTAATGCTTCAGCAGTTTTAATGCATTTTCATACCCTACTGGAACACCTATTACTGAACTGTTGTATATGTTTAATGTGCACAAAACACAGTATTAAACAGCATCCTAGTGTAAAGATGGGTGGCCTTAAGCCGGCAGTGACAAGATCTAACAATTTGTTCAATGTAATACAGCTAGCAGCCCTAATCTCACAATTGTACCTATATCATAATTAGATGCAAGACCAGAGGGGATAATGTTTATTCCCATTATGCAATTATTATATGCAAAAACTAGGTCTCATTAATGGTTATATGGCTTTAGAAATGAAGCACTGGATCTGGGGTATAACTCAGTGGCAAAGCGTATGCTTAGTATATCTGGGGTTCATGTTTAACATATCTGGGATTCTTGGTTACAGCACCACAAGAGAGAGAGAGGGAGAAGGACCATGAGGGATGGAGAGGCAGGGTGTGGGAAGGAGAGAGAGAGAGAGAGAGAGAGAGAGATTGAGCACGTGATCTATTAGGAGCCTGGGTATTCAAGGCCAGACTGGGCTATAAAAGAAAAGTATTATTTAAAGTTAATTATTGCCAGAATACACAAAAGTTGATGATTCAATAATCCTTCACAAGATGTTTCTTGTAGTTTTAGATATTTTTCTCAGAGTCATTGAAACTAAAGCAAAACAAAATAGGTTTGTGAGCAACTATTCCAGTTAACCTGAAATTTTCTCCCATGGATAATTATGCTCAGATGGACAATGTTGCTTTTCACATTCCCCAGCAGAGCTGCTACAGGGGTCTTTGAAGGGAGCAGGGGTCTCCATGGTGAAGCTGTGCAAAGGGGCCTAGCAGAGGGGGTAGCAGCTCTCCCCAGAGCCCTTTGCTGTTCTCTAAGGCCTTACCTCTCTTGTGACTTACTTGGGACTTTAGAGGGATACAGATTCCAGTACCTGGATCAACTATTTTGAGCCTGTTCTAGGTATAAAGGACTAGTTGGTCATCTGGATTTGGAGGCCAGGACAGCATAGAAGACATGTATTCCAGCTGAAATGAAGGTCCCCAGCTGGAGTGTACCAGGCTCATCTCATGCATACGTGTGGTAGGATGGAACTGCTAGAGACATTTATGATAGGTTAGAGAAAAGTAAATATTTTTCATAATTAAAATAATGATGTTGAGTTTGGCGTAGTGGTACACACCTTTAATACCAGCACTCAGAAGGCAGAGGCAGGCAGGTCTCCATAGCAAGTTCCAGACCAGCTAGGGCTACAGGGAGACTCTGTCTCAAAAAGACAAAACAAAAATAAATGAAACAATGCTTTTATGACTAACAAACAAGGCAGCATACGACCCTTTAAGGTAAAGAATTTTGTACCTCGATAGTGCTCTTAAGACTAAAATTTATGTAATAGATAGCCAGGAAGAGGGAGAAGGAAGGAGAAGAGAGAAAAAGAGAAAGAAACAGAGAGGGAGGGAAGAGGGGGGAGGAAAAGAAGAGACTGAATAGCTTCCAGCAAGCCAGTATTCTCTGGTAAATGTTTTACATCCTGGTTTCCTGTTCCTCCCTTGCCTCTGGGCTGGGCTGCCAAAAATAACATTGCTGCTGTTTAATAACCAAAAGGCACTAAAACATTCCTGTTGAGGGGCTGGACAGATGGATCAGTGGTTAAGAACACCAGTTGTTCTTGCAAAAGACCCAGGTTTGAATCCCAGCACCCACATGACAGCTAACAACTGTCCATAACTCCAGTCCCAGGGAATCCTACAGCCTCTTCTGATCTCCACGGGCACTGCATAACACAGGTGCACTTACCTACATGTAGGCAATACATGCATACACATAAAATAAAAATAATAAAATTGAAAAATAAAACATTCCTGTTGAACTTCTTTCAGGTATTATCTGTGACTGATCCACTAGTCCAGTGGGCTGTTTACAGATTCAAAGTCTGAGGTAGAGAGTATTCCAGTGCAGATAAAGCAGGAGAAAAGAGCCAGACAGGGTCAGGCAGAGACAGCTGGATCCTGACTGACAGGTGGGGAGAAGTTGGAGAACAAAGTTGTAGTTTGATGTGAGCAGGTGGGAGGTCCTTTTTTGTTTTGTGCTTGGAAGCCTACTTCTAGTCAGTAACCATTTCAGATAAATGCCTGGCCCCTAGATACATTTCTCACCTCTGTTTATTTCTGACAGCATTAGTATGCACTAAATCAAATGGGGCTTTTAATTTGTCTTTAGTCATGAACAGGGAAAATAAGAGAGTCTCAAAAAACCAGAGTTGTGCAGCATGAGGACACCCCGCTTCATTTTTGCAAGGAAGAGTAGGGTCCTTCCAATTAGCTGAGAAGTGGCCACGGGAGGTAGGCACAAGTCCATCACTTTTAATTCATGGGTTGTCAGTTTCCATCATAACCCATACAAGTCTCAGCCAGGAGCTTACAGCTTAAAGCAAAACTTCCACGTCCGCTGATCAATAGTTCAGCTTTCCAGGAAGAAGTGTTACCTTCCTTTAAAGATTTCCTAATTTGCACTTCTCATCAGCTGAAAGTATTGAAAGTTTTCATCTACTAAAAACTATTTGCTTCAGAGTCCTGAAGATATAAATGGCAGGTCTTCACATTAGTCTTTGAACCAGTCATAGCCTTTCAGTAGCTGCCTCATTATCCCATGAGGTGAGCGAAATCTTTCACACCCGTTCACTGTATAATTTCACGGGAGTCATGTTTGTTTAATTCCTTCAATATTTTAATCTGGAAACCCTAATGGAGCTCATTACCTCTGGGGAAACAATAGCAATGTTTTAAATATTACACAATTGATATTTTAAATTTAAAACAGACTACATGCAGGAAGGTGAACTCCATGGTTATCTCTAAACTTAAGAGATTTAACATTGACTTGGGACTATAGCAGTTGTCTCTGTGCTGGGACAGTTACTGCATATAGATGCCAGAGGTTTATGTCAGCCTTCTAAATCTCTCCCACAGTAGCCCCCACTCATGGCAATCCCACTTGGAACCACTCAAGATTCCAAGGAATTGCTAGAGACAAATGGAAATATTA